TTTTTGACAATCATGATTTGACTATAGATTCAAAATAGAGATGCCCCAAGACAAAGCAGAATATTATACATGATGAAAATTGGGAGAACAAAAAAAAATAATTAAAAAATCAGAACACAAATCTCCACCCTTTCTTCACAAGCACCCATCTTGATGTGTATACATTGATTATGTTGATACCACTCACACCGCTGGCTTCACAACAAATGACCAACAAACAGACACCAAAATCCAAACCAGCTTTCAGTTACAAAACCCCGTCCCCCCAGATAGAAGACACTTCACACAAAGGGATAATTCAATAAATAATGCTATTTATAATTCGTGCAATCATCAGTCAAACAACAATAAAAATCATTCCAACAAAATCAATGAATAAACAAATTATCAAAACAAGACCAAAAACAGTAGTAGTAGTAGTAGTAGTTGCAGTGAAACGTAGGGTTTTCTGCACACAATTTTTCCATTATTTACAAAAAGAAAACATCAACAAGTGAACAGATACATATACAACAATACAGCAGCAACGTTGCCCATAGTTCTCACTCATCAATAACTTAAAATGGCCATTTATGGGAAAAAACAACTGAGCTAGTTCTAAATATACAGGTTACCATCACAGCTGTGGCCCTCTTAACTCTGTGAACCCTGACCTCCGGAGGCGACCATGACCCCTCTGTCTGCCCGACCTACCGAGAGATTCCAGCTGCCTCGTCTATTTCATCAACACCGTTCACCATTGTCGTATGTCAAAATACCAGGTTTTTCGTGTGAAGCAAAAAAACCTTAAGTTTGCTCAAGACACTTTAATAATACATAATGTTCCATTTGTCTTTATCGATTATGATTTTTTAAAGAATAGGAATGAGACTGGGTCCAGTGAATGCACCTCATCAAACTCTAAGGCATACTTCATTTTCAAACTTTTTTCTCTCTCGAAATTTTGCCACACTCCAATGTTGAACAACAGTGACCGTTTGATGACATCGCTTTTCCCCCCCCAACAAACTTCATTCACTCTCACAATTTCCACATGGGGTCAGACATCTTGGCAAGACTTTAGTAAACCATAGTAAATGTAGTACAGCTCTTTTGATTGGCTGATAAATACAGGCTTTCAACACCCCCAACAATGAGATGCGATCTCGCTCACCGGTGTACTGGTGGTTGGTTAGGCACTCTGGCCAGTTTTATTTGCTGGCAGTTCCTCAGGCAGTCAGGATTCATAGGGTCAATAAACAGTACTGAGAAACAAACAGTATTGCTAGAAAAAAAATCTCTCTGCTATATATTTTTACATTCTGCTGACACATCAAATTGATCAAACAAGACACCTTAACTTCAATCCATACAAAAATAAAAACAACTTGACTCCAAAAAAATACAGCATTTCTAAAGATGTGGTGGGGGAACAATTTCAATATTTTCTAAAACCTGACTTTCGACTGTGTTGTAAAGTAGAGTCAAATACATAATTTCAACTATATCTAGTGGTGTATTTTTAAAAAATTCAACGAAAAGAAAATCATGAAACATTGATATGAAATCTGAATAGAAGTGGTCTTTTATAGTTAAGTAAAACAGTTTTAAGCCTTAATTGTGAAAGTTTCCTAAATCCAGGGGGGGGGTTCGGTTCACGAGATGTTTCTGAACCAGACAGAGGAGTACTTTTCGTTAAACTGGAATCTGGTCTTATCTCACGGAGCCTTGGTCCCACCGTATGGCGATGTGTGATACAATTTCTGATCTGAGTTTCGTAATAAATATATATATATATATATATTTGATCATCTGTTATAATCACAATATTATTAAAATGATGAACTTTCACAAAGGACTGTTATAATGCGTATTATGGTAGAAGAATTCCTGCTCAGATCGTGTCTCAAAAAGCTGTAAGTTTGTGGTGACCTCGGACATCCACAGGGGCGGGGGGGGGGGGAGATAAAGTTAAGGAAATGCTGGTATACTGTAAATTGGTCGCTTTTAAGCACAAGGGGGCTATCCCGAAAAATGTTTGAGAAAATCGAAGGGGAAGTTTTTGCCCAAAGTTCAGTTTCTTTAAAAGACAAGGAGAGTTTTCTCTATAACCAAACAAATATACATACAAAAGAAACCAAACTTCTTCTATAGGTAGGGCAATGCCCACTTTTGGAGTACGTAAGTCAAGATTTCTGGAAACCCTCGAAATCTGGGTTAGCCCGCTTGTCCTTAAAAGCGACCAATTATGCTCCCATGTGTGCCCGACATCCCCACCCTCTCTTTACAATTCTGAGGAGAGTCAGGCTAGCTTCCCCCCCGTCTTTACAATTCTGAGGAGAGTCAGGCCAGCTCGTCACAGTTCTATTATCTATCACGTACAACTTGAAAAAATATAATATTAAAATATTAAAAATGAAGGTGGGTATTTTTTCTTCTCCGGTGGATAGAGCGCTATATAAATGCAATCTATTCTTATTATATTTTCCTCCACAAACAACACAACTTAGATCACAAACATCTTCTTAACCCACCGTTTCCCTTCTTCACAAAGGTTCCAAAGTCTCTTGACATTTCAAAGCTTCCACTTTCAAGAACTCACCTCTATGACCTCTTTTTTAACGTGAAATAAAAACGTGTAGACACACGCCACATTGATGATAGATGGCTTACTAAGAAAAAAAAAAGAGAAAACCCCAGCAGAGCACCAGTCAACTACTCATCGGTTAAGAAGACGACACAAATGACTTTGTGCGTTGTCATGATTAAGTATAGTAAGGAGAAAAACCCTGGGAGAAGGAAAAAACAACCAAACTGCAAACATAAAGGAGCCCTTAGCTGTAGGACTTGTTTGCCCTGACCCTCTACACAGGGATGTAAACAGGTTTTGAAAAAAAAAAAGCCGGAAAATATACGCGCACCCACTGAAATAAGAATACAGCGAGACTAAATTATATTTGTTTCTTTCCCTGTATTACAACAAATAATCTCTATTTAGTTATATATATAATATGTATTGTTTATAGTAGTAGACTTTTGTTAACAGCTGGGGCCCAAATGCCATTTTCCCCCACCTTACACAGTGGTGACATTTTCTTTTCCTACGACAGTTCAATACAATACAATTTTTTCACCATCATCGAAAGTTCAATGCAATAAAATCTTTTCACCATCAGCGACATTTTCTTTTCCTCTACAGTTCAATACAACAATACAATTTTGTCACCATCATCGAAAGGTCAAATGCAATAAAAATCTTTTCCTACGACATTTCAATACAATACAATCTTTCCATCATCCATCAACAGCACAGACAGACACACAGCTTCTCCCTCCCTAGCCTGTCACAAACATCTCCTGTGTGGCACAATGCTTCTTTCCTGGAACCTGATATGTTGCAGCGTCACATACACACAACACAACACTCCTACACATTCTCATTACACACATGACACGGAAAGCAACATGACGTAAGAACACTCTGAATCTTCCCTACTTCAATTTTTTTTAAAAAGAGGCCAAAGAAAATTGATGATTCAAAACCAATTCATACATGATGCCTCTCTTTAACCCTTTTCTCTAAAAGAAAATGGCAAACTTGGGAGCAGATTTTTTTTTTTTATAAATGAAAACA